AGTTTTTATTAGAGTTCCTTTAGTTCTTTATGTGTTTAGGTAAAATTAGTTTAATTCTGGTTTCAATTGCTCAAAATTATATCAACATTAGTTAAATGTCAGTACATTTAAATGAAAATAAAACAAAAAAACCACAATAGCTCATATACCTTTAAAAATAATTTACTTTTTCATCACAACTTCTATTTGACAATTATTTGTTTCTTTATAAAACACATGTTTGAACAGAAAAACAAACCCCACCTTGTTTAGGCTAAGATCAGACATTTTCAGCACAGATTTTAAATCAAAGCTGAATATTCCCATCATTATACAAGTGAAACGATTTATTACTTACATTTCCCAATTTAGAAAAATGTCTTTAATTTCAGCACAAAAAACAATGTTTTCCTAAAAAAACAAACGAAAAAGCAAACTGTTTTCCCCACCAGGTAACACATCATAACGAGGGATGTCAAGTTGATCAAAGTGCACCAAAAGAAAAGGCTTTTTACTGCGTGTCTTCCCTTTCTTTCTCTCTCAAACCTTCTTGTCATCCAGCTAATAAATAAGAGCTGTTTGTAGTTATTGAACACAGAAGGATACAGCGGTGATGTGCAACTAAAACTCAGCATGTCACTGTGTAAATACTGTTAATACAGCCTCAGAGATGCAGCAAATAAGAAGAGCCAGTAGCACAGAAATTGAGATGAAAATCTGCACTGCCTGAGGAATCTTGTTTGCCTCCCTGATTAACAATAATCCCATTGATACCTGTCAGAACATAATGATCTGCCCTCAGCTGCAGGAAAGCCTCTCTTTCATTTTTAGAAACTAAAACTTTCTTCAGCATGATGCTGCCCTTCATAAAGAAAAACTAAATATAAAACCATCTGTTGTGAACATAATGTCCTGTGCTCTGTGAAAGCAGTAAAAAGAAACTCTTGAAAAGTTTAAGTCGTACGGATATTTTTACAAAGCGTTTGTTTCTCCAGCCTAAATGGCTAACAATTCCTGTTTAGGATCTCAGTTTTGCAAGAGTTTAAAGGTGCTCACCCAAAGTATGCACCATCCCGATCTATGAAGTAGCGTCCCTCTGCATCCCGTGGGATGTGGTGCCGCCCGCTGAACATGGCAGCCAGCATCGTGTCCTCGTATCTCCGCAGCGTGGAGAGGCGTGTGGTGAAGTACGTGCCCCCAACGTTCAGGGAGATGACCTCTGGAAACTTGGAAACATTTGAGATAAAGCTAATAAGTAAGAGTAAGATGCTATTTCTTGTTACTTTTCTAACAAAAAATGACATTAGGGACACATTCCTACATAACAGAAATTTTAGCTGAAGATGGATATAACCTTCATTTAACTCTGCCTTTCTTCATTTTGTGTTTAGAGACAAATACTTGAATCTAAAAGAAACAGTGTGTGTTTAAAAAATGTCTCTTAGTCAGTAGTTGACTTCAGGCACTAGACTAAAATATGAATGAATTTTCTAGATTTGTATCCTTCAAATATCATTGTTTTGTATCTCCTGTTTGCTGACTGGAGGTTTCATTCGATGTTGGTATTAATGGGGGATGTACAGATATGAAAATCTAGGCAGATAGCCACTTCAGATCATGAATATTGCTGCTATGTCCAATAACCAATATTTACTGATATATGTTTTCTGTAATCTGTGCATTCTGCAAAAAAATAAAATAAAAAAATGAACACTGAAATTAATTTGCTTCTCTGCTTTATATATGGTAACTCCCACAATCCTGTGCTGCTTTAGTCTCAAATGACCAAACACTAACTAGATGGATGTGAACATGTTAGTATCAGCCCTATTACTTATCAGACCGATATCAATGTTTAAAAATAACAATTTTATTGTTATTATACCTCCCTTGTCGTTATCATAATGATCATTATTAAATCATTTTGCTTTATTTGTTTTCCATGGACCATAAAAATAGAGCAATAGAACTGTTTTTTTTTTTATGACTACCAATATCACTTTTAATTCTTACCATACATATCAAATATTCATATTCTGATATTTTAGAAACCTGTTTTCTAGTTTGACCCATTCATTTTTTTCCCTTAGTTTTAGAGAAAACACACAAAAAGACCTGGCCTAAGAACATTTCAAATTCCTGTTTTATCTGTATATGTACGGAAAGTATTCAGACCTCTTTAAATGTTTCACTGTTTCATTGCAGCTATAATAAAAATAAATGAAGTTCATTTTATTTTTCATTAATGTAAACACAGCACTTCATATTGACAGAAAAAAAAAATAGAAATTTTTGCTAATTTATAAAAAAAACAAACCTGAAATATCACATCATCATAATTATTCAAACCCTTTGCTCAGTATTGAGTAGAAGCACCTTTTGAGCTTTTACTTTGTAAACTTAAAAATGTCCCAATTTAGTTCGAAGAAGTATTACTTTTGTAATACTTCAAGTACACTAAAAGTACTTGTTCGGGTATACTTTCTAAACTTATACTTAAGTATTCTTAATAGAATTTACTTCAAGTATACTACTTTTTGCTAAAGGAAGTCCAGTCAGTTTAATTAAACACAGCTGAACTCCAATAAAGGAGTGTCACAGCAAAGGGTCTGAATACTTATGACCATTTAACATTTCAGTTTTTCTGTATTTTTTTTTTATTTGCAGAACTTAATGAGAAAAAAATTAACTTTATTGATTTTAGGAGATGGCTGCAATAAAACAAAGAGGGAAAAATGTTAAGGGTCTGAATACTTTCCGTACCCACTGTATATGCAGGCTCTAATCCAACAAGAGCTGTTTTTCTCACAAGTTTCACTCGAACCATTGTGAGACAGAAAGAAAACAAAAAAATTCTTGCAGATCTTATATTTTAAAACAAAAATCAAATAGCAACTTGTTTTGTTTGTCAATATCATCAATATCAATTTCCGAAAAAGAGCAGAACAGGGTCTGATTAAATAGGTTTCCTACTTTATACCCATTTTCAGACATAATCACCAAATTATAAATTTAATAAGTGATATATTATAATATTAAATACATTTTTAAACGTATGGGATAAAGTTTTAATTTTACTGGATTTTCTAAAATAAAGTAATTAATTGATTAACTCCCTGCTAAAAGGGAGTTTTTTCCTCTCAGCTGTCGCTACATGCATGCTTGGTGTGAGAGATTGCTGAAAAGTCAACGACTCGATGCAATCAGCTGGTTTTTATTAGATAGAAAACTTTGAACCAATCTGACTGCATGATCTGGTTGATTTGTCTCTATAAATGAGGTGTTGTGAATTGGTGCTATATTAAAAAAAATCAACTGAATTGAATTTTTACTGTAAGAAAAAAAAGGAGGAGCTAGAAGGAGGAAAAGAATTGTTGATGCAAGAGTTGAAGAAAAACCTCCATAATAATAACATCAGAGACGGTTATTAGTAACTGTACACGTCACAGTTTCAACACAGCTCTTAGTCATATTAGCTGCAGGAAGATTGCTGCAGTGGTTAGAGTTCAGGGAACTGGTGAACAACTTTATGTTGTGGTTCTGTGGTCGAGAACAAACAGGTTCTGGTGGATTTTAGAAAGGAAACACCAGCAGCATCAATAAACTCACAATTAAAAGACAATCCCAATCTTTAAACAAACCCTGAAAAGTTTTGAATCTGGAAAATCAAAAATAAATTTCTGACATGAAATCTTCCAGTAACAGAACAGGGAATCAGACTCTCTTAGATCAATAGATAACAGAGAAGACTATGATGTAATCCCATCTGATCATTTAAAACATAGTTGGTAGTAAACCATCAAATAATCCAACATTTACCGTTTTGCATATTTATGACCATTGTTAAGGTGTTAGATGCCTTTTTTAATATTCATCATTTTATTTCTTAGCTATTGTTGCACAAAGAAGCTATATCACACTTGGCGTACGGATTTTTTTATAGCTCATGCTATAAAAGAATTCAACAGTAATCTCATAGATCATGTGACCCATTAATCAGTTTGCATGTCAATCTGTCCTACAGACGGATTGTAGGATAGATTGCTATCTTTCAGTTCATGGGATTAATAATCCATCTAGGGTTGCAATTTACAATTATTTTGCGAATCGATTAATCTGTTGATTATTTTTCAGATTAATCGATTAATAATCGGAGAGCCAAAGGTTCCTTAAAGAAGACTTTTTATGAAATGAAGCCAGGTGAATCTAGTGTTTCAACTTGAGGAGAAATAGAGCATATTGAAAGAGGAAATTGTTTTTTTTTAAATGCTAAATGTTTATATATTTTTTTACTCTGATATAATTATTGCTCTAAGTGAGTCGCTCTGTCAATTAAAGGAATGTTTTACAGTCTCTATACTCCAATTAACAATTAATCGATTACTAAATTAGTTGATGATTATTCAAATAATCTATTAATCCGATTAATTGTAAAATTCATCTATCAAACAATACAGCAAAAAATCCTAGATCTGTTAATTAATCCATCCATTTTATCAGATAATAATCTATCCATACATTCTTAGGTATGAAATTAACACTCTGTCTATTTCATCACAATTAATTATCTACCTAATCTTAATAATAACTAATTTATTAATTATGGTAATAAACCAGCCATGCACTTTGTTAGATTTTATAATCCACGTGCGAGTCTGGCTGGATTAATTATCCATTCTTGCATTTCATGTGGTTTCTTAACCATTCTTATCCATCTACTGGGATTAACCATCTATCCATTAAACAATTCCTTTCATGGTGTTAGTAATTCAGCTATTTGACTAATAGGATCAGTCCATCCATCGATTTTGCGGGAATAATAAACCATCTGTTGTTGTTTTACCGCAGGAGTTGAGGACTCCTCAGAGAGCAGGGTTAATTGGGTTAAAAATAAAAGAAACTTAATCTAAAAATCACGTGACAGAGTTTCCAGCCAATCAGAACAGAGCTTCAGCAGCTTTACCAACCACCAACCGCCGAGCAAATACCCACAAACACTCAAACAGAAAATGTATTTTCTATTAAAAATATGAATGAATGTTACAACAACCTATTACTCCCATGACGCTTATTTTCTTATTTTTTAATTATTGGGGTTCGGGTTGGTGCGGGTTAATATCAGTAGAGTGTTCCATGGAGAGGCCTACCCACCTCCTGCTGCTCCTGGGTGTTCAGCGAGGAGCGCAGCGGCTTGCTCGGCGCTCCGCGGTGCTTTGGAGAGGGGGAGGCCGTCAGCTTTCGGACGCCGTCGCCCTCCTCCGTAAGGTCCGAGCTTGACATGGCATCGCTCGGTTTATCCGCTTCCCCAGCAGCGGAGAAAACCACCATCACTTTGGGCAGCGGCAGTGTCCGCTGTCTATCCTGAATGAACCGCCTCACCCGCGTAGTAGCAGCAGCGGGTAGCGGACTGAAGGACAGAGCCTGCCGCTCCCTGCCGCCGTCTGAACCGTTAGAGCCGCTCGAGCCATTCTGCTGCATGCACGCGGCCGGCCGGCTGGCTCCAGGCAACGGGGGAGGGTGACGGTTGGAGCCGGAGATCAACCAAGGGAACACCGGGACAATAACAACAACAAGAGGGTGTGGCTCTAACAGCTGCTGGAACTCAGCCCACCATCCACAGGCAAGGAGCGACAGCAGGGGAAAGAGAGAGAAGCCTCCTGTGATATAAAAACCTTTACAACATCAGTGTTAAATGACAAATATTGATAAGGAACATCAAAAGGCTGCACCGCCTGTAACATCCGAGCTTTGGAACGGAGGCGATGTGACGTACGAGTGAATATGAACGTCACTACGTAAAGTTTAAAAAGCACAGATATATATATGATTTATTATTGTAGATAAAATAGTTTCAATAAAGAGGGTGAATATATTTGCAGAATGTATAATAATGATGTTAATGGTATTAAAACACATTTTAGGCAACATAAACAAGCTCGGAGAAACTACAAACAGTATGAATGGTGCCATGTCATTAAGATTATCAGTGGCGGTCCTAAACCAAATTTATTAGGGGGGGCCAAGGTGGGGCCATCGTTTTTTTTATGGGGACACAGAAAGGCATGAAACAAACAACCAAAAAACAACAACAAAAAACAGAGCAATGGTTTATTATTTAAAGGTATTGTGGTGGATTTTTGCAAAATTTTCTAAGGTTGTAGGAAAATCATATTTAAATGTAAAATATAGATAAAGAACATCAAAAAGCTGCACCGCCTGGGACATCCGAGCTTTGGAAGGAATGACATGTGATGTACGAGTGAATACGAACATCGCTGCGTAAAGTTTAAAAAGCACAGATACATTTTGATTTATTATTTTAGATTAAATACTTTCAATAAAGAGGGTGGATAATATATTTGCAGCATGTATGATAATCATGTTAATAGAATTTAGTTTAGTTTATTATTTAAAGGTATTGTGGAGGATTTTCGCAAAATTTTCTAAAGTCATATTTAAATGTCATAATTTTCTGGCTTAAACATGTATATAAAGCTACATTCACACTGCAGGCCTTGATGCTCAATTCCGTTTTTATTTTTTTACAATGCCATTCATATTTACATATATAAGCGACTTGTATGTGATCTCCTGTGTGAACTGCAGTCATACAATGCAAGTGTCCCACATGCTTGGTAGAGGATGCAATGACGTCACAGGCCAGTGTGCTCTGTGTTTACGGAAGTAAACATGGATGGTAGTGCTGGAGCACATCTAGCGATCGTTCACAACCATAAAAACACAATCTTTTCAAAATGGTTAAACATAAATACTGCTCTCTGCATCCTCATCTGCAATGGTTGTTGTTTTTCTTGCAGCTTCTTCATAGCAAGACCCAGAATAGTGACCTTTGTCGGGTATTAATGGCGTTCAGGTCAGATGAATGCGACCTGGCTGTTAAGATGCAGGTCGCATTTGAAAAGATCAGATTCGTATCGGATTCAGGACCACATAGTCGAGTGGCCTGGGTCGCATTGGAAAAAAATCAGATCTGTGTTGTTCAGTCTACCATGAAAAGGTCAGATCCAGGTTGCATATGGGCAAAAAAATGCAGTGTGAAATGAGCCTAAATGTACTCTTTATCAGACGATATTGTCCCAAAATTTAGAAAAATTCTATAAAAATATCTTATGCAGGCCAGTTACTTATACATTAACCTGTGCTCCTAAATTCGGCCAATCATATATCAACGGTCATCTGCAATCAAATTTTTTGGTCATTGCATCTTGATTCATATTCAGGCATAGAGCTAACAGAACTGGCAGAAACATGTACAGCTGTAAGCCTTCAACACCAAACCAAGCTTCTGCCGCCCTGGCGTCCTCTTCCTCAACATCTTCGTCCCCGCTTTCCTCTAAATAAAAAATATTTGACAGAGGAGACTCATCCACAACCTCCGACACAAAACCCCTTCTCCTCTTGCATGTTTCTGCTGTCCATAGCGTTCCTTGACAGTGTCGTTTCTAAGTCACCAATTTAGTGCTACTTGGTCCCGATGTAATTTCCCATTGGGAACCTACTAGCACTAAGTTGCAAACTGGTTAGCAAGATGCTTCCGAGAAAACGGCCACAATCAAACTTGCTTGCAATCCTTCCACCACAACAATCCCACCCTCTTGATAAACGAACTCTTGCACAACTCAGGAGAATTCGGATATGCAACAGTTGTAACAGCCGTTTCCCTACTTTAAAGATCCGCCTTTTCCACTTTAAAATAAAAATGCACATGCACAACCCTGTTCCCCGCTCTCGAGAGGGAACACCTATTAAACGCATGCGAGAGCACGCACAAGCCCATTTCTCCTCGTGCACGCTCTGTTTAATCCCCTAAATCCCTTTATAAAGCGGGGACTATATAGTAGACTTTATAGCAAACTAAGTTAAAACTACAGTGTGTAATAATTACAGGGATATACAGTCAGAAATGTAATATATTATACATAAATATGTTATTTATCATTATCTACGAGCTCAGCCTCCTAACCTTAATATTTGCGTTGCCTTAGAATTCGTTATTTATAATTACATAGGAGCGGGTCTCGCAGCCATGGAGGCAGACATCTTTGCGCTATGGCAGCGCAGAGCCAACAAACTAGCGATTGCGAGATCACCCATTACGCTCGAAAGTAACTACGGCAAGTTGAGAGAGATGAACTGAGATTGTACTGAACAATAGATGGCAGTATTAAAATTATCTATGTAAACAAACCTCATCACTTGAGAAGGTAGGTGATGCAAACGTTGTGGAAGACATTTTGTCCCGTAACGCTCGCCGTACTGTTGGGGGGGAGAAGCGGTGGGGGGGAGATGTTCATGTTGCTGCGGTCTGCAGTCTGAACGTTAGATGTCGCTGAAAATTACACACTGTAGCTTTAACTGATCCTTCAGACAGATGATCACTGGTCTTTGCTTGGTCCCCGTTGGTCATGTAACTCCTCCTCCACTGCACAGTGCCTGTGCCATCTCTGTTATTAGTTGAAGATATTGGGTGGCAACAGCAGGCTGCTTTGACAGCAAATCCCATAGTACTTTGCGAGGAGAGCTCTCCACACAAAGCATTCCGGGATATATCTGCCTCTTCTGAGGCCTTTGCTTTTCTTCTCAGACACTTCATAGACACTTTTTCTCACTTTTTCTTTTCAAAGAACTGTTGTGAGAAAGGTGAGCTTCAATGACTGTCTGAAAATGTAGCTCACCACACATATACGCCTGAAAGTGCTAATGCCCAGAAAAAGATAGCTAACAGGACGAGCAGGTAGGACGGCCTTACGTAAACATATCACCAGAATGTTTCACAATTAGGAGAACCACTTGTTGAGATGATCCACCCAGAAAAAGAACATCCTGTAAACCTTTCAAATATATTAAAGGAGCCGCAAAAGCAGAGAGCCATTTGCACCTCTGCACTGAATGAAGTGAAATGTCCAAGTCATTTAGTTTAATAAAGTCGTATGTTGTTCCAATTTAAAATTTGTATTTTTGTTTTGAAAATTTTTATTTCATTTAAATGAAATAAAAAGCCTTACCGTGCATAAATCAGCTGGAATAATTAGTTGCTAAATTAATATCAAATGACAGAAAAAAGGCAGCTATTTCTCTTGGAATATTATGCAAATCTACATCAATAATTCAAGAATATTACATATTTCAAAATTATTTTAAAAGTTATCAGTTTTGATCAAATCAGAGCTATAACTTGATTTGAAGTTATAAATTGAGCTGTAACAAATTAGAGTATTTTTTTTTGTTCAAAATAAAATTTGGCAGCATAAAATTGATCCTGTTTCAATACAACTGAAGGTATCAGCATGACTTTGAAATCATAATGAAAACAGGATTGCAAAGACAAAGTTGAAACCAGTCCAAGTAACCTTTCAATCACTATAGTCTCTTTCCTACTGAAATTAGTGGGTTTATATGGGTTTATCAAACAAGGGCCGACCTGCCTACCTTTCATTTTGCAGAAAAAGCTGGGTCCCCGGCAAGTTGCGTGTCCTGCCCTATATTTAAAAAGCATGGAGAATTAGGTGGGTTTTAATTTTTTTTCTTGAAAGCAGCAACAGAGAAAAGGTATAGAGTGGATCATGCCAGAGTCTTGGCATGAGGCCCTGGAAGAAGCAATCTCCTTAGGACTTAAAACAGGTGCAAAGGACCATAAGAAGGCTCTGACCCAACAACTTCAGCCTCTGTTGAGAATATAGGGACATAAAAGCTCTTTTATTTTGGAAAAAGCCTGAACATGCAGAGCTCTGAAAGTCAAAATCGAAATTGTTTAATAAAAAAAAAAGAAACTGTTAGCCATCAAAGGACTATTAGAATGGAAGCAATATGAGCTCTTCTGTTGGTACAAGTCAACGATCTAACTGTAGACTGCTGGAAATGGGCACCAGTCCCACAGTGCCTCTGATGAATATATATATATATATATATATATATACTTTTTTTTATATATATAGATATCGAATCAGTGAATCTGTGCTTCTGTTTCTTTAGTGTGTTGGCTTCCATCTCCTTAAAACCCGCCTCCAGCTTACGCAGAAGGTCACTAACACTAAGCCTTGTTCTGCAGTTAATAGAGTTTACTGCTTCATGCACAATCGGTGTGAAGGATACCTGGAAAGTCAACAATGCTATGTGCTATCAGCTGGTTTTCCTTAGAAAGAAAACCTGTGACCAATCGGAAACCATGGTCTGATTGATTTGTTTTTGTAAAGTACCTTGAGTTGACATGTTGTCAGATTACTTTTCCTTCAGATAAAAGGTAAAGTTCTACAAGACCATTGTACTCTCTCCCTCTATCTCATCTTCCTTCAAAGTGAGTTCAAAGCAAGTGTGTCATCTATGTGTGGCGAAATTGCTGGCCCTGCTTCTCTAAGACGTTGCGACTTAAGGTTTACCTTGCAGATCTCACCATAATAGCTTTCACATTTTGTCTTGTTTCGGTTTCACATGACAGATCAACACAGAGTAGAGTGGGGATGTTTTTTTTTTCTTCTAATAAAAATCAGAAAAGTGTGGGATACATTATATTTACTCTCCTTTACTTTTAGAGATCCTCAGCTTAGATAGTAAAGCCCAATCAGTGGTTCAGAAGACTTTTATCTTACTTGAGGTCTGAGATGTTAATGGTAGGCTATTCGAATGCAATTGTTAAAATATATAGATATTTTTAACTTGGTTGGCACCTTTACACTGAAATACCATTGAGGTTTAGACTTGACTCTTTGTACAAAAGGAAAACTAAATTGTTTGTAGCCTTTCTTATTCACCATCTTTAAATTCTGATAGTCCGCAACTGGATGCATGAACATTAAGGTGAAATTCATCTGAACTCAATGGGCTAATCTATTTACCCAGGTAAGGTCATGTTATGCTTGCTTGTTTTGCTAACCTTTTATCTTTTTCTTTTCTAAATTTGCAGGAATTATTTATTGTGAGGCAAAGACTGTTCAGATATTTAAAAGGATATTATTTATCAATTGAATTACGTTAGTAATGATATGCATGTTTTTTTTAGCCTTTTTATTGTCATTACATTGTCACAAGTGCAGAGCAACAAAATTAACCCTCTGCATGTAACCCATCCCCCTTGGGAGCATCGGGCTGCCATTGTGCGGTGCCCGGGGAGCAATGTAGGGTTATGGGTCTTGCTCAGGGACCCAGAGTGGCAGTCTGTTGGAGTGGGGCTTAAACTCAGATCCTCTGGAACCCACACTCAATGCTTTAACCACTACGCCACCACCCCCCTGATAATAACCATTTAAGTATGAGTATTCAGAAGAGAAAGCTGGGCTGAAAGCATTAAACAGGTAGTAAACTGTGTAAATCTGCTGATAGCTGGGCCTGGACCAGGGAACTTCAGATCTTCAGTCTGTCGCTCTCCGAACTGAGCTATTTCGGCAGTGAACTCTACATTTAACCCATCTCCTTGGGGAGCAGTGGGCTGCCATTGTGCGACGCCCGGGGAGTAGTGTGGGGTTTGTCTATGGTTTGGAATTTGACTTGTTGAATTCTTGTTGTAATAAACAGATCATGTCAAATTTCATATGATAACCTACTTTGGACCCAACATGCTACATTATTAGATTGTTGTATTTTGCATTAATTTAGCAAAAACAAAAAGGTTTCCTTTAAATGGTGTAAAAGCTTGTTAGGGGGAGTTCTTGCTCTACAACAGTTATCTGCTCATTAGAGCTGTTTTGTGACCACTAAAAACCCCTCCGGTAACTCAGGCGAGGGCTTGACGGATGTGGGGAGACGTGAAAGAGGAAGTAGAGCTGACAGTGGAACTGTGGCTGTTGCCTGCTGCTGTATGAAAGAGGTGAAGAATGAAGGCGGCTGGACCTCTGAAGGTAAGAATAAGACAGCAACACATCAGATAACACTTGTATTTAGGTATCAGTAGACTTTGCATTGTTCCAACACTGGAGCAAATCTGTATGTGCAAGATTGTTTTATGAAATGTTTTTTTTTTTAAAGGATGTAATTTTTTTAGAAATCCTAGCTTGATTGTATGAATTTAGCCACCACTGATACTCAAGCTTAAAGACTGTTCAAGTAAGTGTTACCTTCACTTGTTAAAAGTATGTTTCTCATATTACGAATAATTCATTTTCATCTGCAGGTCGATGCTATTAGATAAGGAAATACAGCTATAAGTTTTAATCATTGTTTTAAACAGTAACCACCGCAGTGCCACGTATATCCTCACCTTAATAAGGCTGTTAATTGTAGAATCATTAAAAAAACACAAATAGTTGTAATGTTTTGAATATTTGGTGTTCTTCTTTTAAAAGAAATCTTGAAGTTTGATCTAAAATATTAAAATAATATATACAGGAAGCAAACTGTGTATTTTAATTAACATTAAAAGCATGTTAGTATATGTTGGTAAAACATATCAATTGTTAAATGAAGCACAAAACAAAAGCAAAAAGCTTTTGGTAAAAATAAGTACAAAAAAATCAGAAGTAAATCAGGAAGAAGATAAAGATGTTTTTAATGCTTAACGCTTTGTGTTGTTACAAAATCATTTATAGTGCAAGTAAAAAGGTGAATAAGAAATTATTTAGGAATTACACCAAACACTTTTGATGCTTAATGAGATGTCTGCGTGTTTGAATAATACAGAGATTTAAACAGTTTTCTACCTGTTTAAAGCTTTAGCTTAATTTTTTTGTATGTTTGGCTGAAATCTGTAGGTAGGGAACCTTGTTTTATTTTTTTCTATTACCTAATGTTTACCAGAGCTGTGCCTGACTATGATTAAATGGAGCAAAAACATTACAGTTGGTTTCTCAGAGTAATGACAACTGCAGCAAACAATCAGGTTAGAGATGCTGCATTCTGTGATGGAAAATTTTACACCCACTGGAAAGAGGCAACTTTCCAATGAGACCACCACTTGAGACATGCATTTCAAATGATGTGTATTCAATGTGCATTATAAAGAGGGGAGGGGAAAAATAGGTTAGCATTGTTTTGAAGGTTCTCACACACAAATCTGTGCAGGAGTTTTAAACAAGTTTAAAATTTCCGATCGCTGTTGATCAGCTTTCACTCCCTGTTCCATTGTTTCGCATTATAGATGCATTTTGTCGCCCATTGTTCTCTTAAAATAAAAAGTCACCTGTCAATGTATGTTATTGTTTAAAGATATATATATATTTTTTTTTTTAACATGTAAAATTTTAAGAAACGAAACTTGTTTTGCAATATAGTTTTCATTCACGTCTGTATTTGTAATGCATGATCATGCTCAGAGAGAAAAAAGGCAAATCCTTCTATTTTTACAGTTAATATTATAGCCTGGTCTAGTTTAATTTCTTACTACAAAGGTAATGTATAAAGCCACTAAATACAAATTTCCAAAGAACAATATTTAGAGCACAGGGAATTAGCATCGGTGCATCTTATTGAATAGTTTACTGAACACAGACATCTAAAACTTTGAAATTAAAAGCATCTAGGGGAACAATGTTTATTAAATTTAAAACATATTGTTTTAAGAATTTAGAAATTAGACTTCTAGTTGTTATTTAACTTTTTATAAAAAAAAACTACGGTTTGGTGTAGAAAAGTATTCATGGAAATTGCTAAAATCTAGTAAAACATTATTCATTGAAGCCTAATCAGGAAAAGCTCTGTAGAAAAGGTTGCTCATTTTTCTAGAGTATTGGATGTTAAATAATTCACCTCGCTTTGCACAGTTTTCTGTGTTTTTTAAACAGTATGGGTATGCAGTGTAATATCTATATAAATATAGATAAATAAAACATGGCTAAATATATTGAATTTAAGCATCATTTTAATTCCAAGATGCTTTAATACAGAAATAGCAAAAAGTTTGTTTTTTGTCTGGGTTAGAGCATTTTTTTTAGCTTTAAGAATTTATTTTAGCTTTTTTATGTTAAAAATACCTTTGACTCTAAATGTTTGAATTGATAGTGTATGTGAATCCACTTGACTCTATTCTGGCGCATGGAGTGTTTCGGTTTTCGGTCAATTAGACTTAAAACATTTTTTAACCTTCACTTTATGTTAAAATGTTTAGATAAGTTCTTATTTAGCAAACATTAGATGTTTTGGTATGATACGATATAAGCATTGCCCTCACTCAACTTTTCATCTATGCTGAAAATTTTCCAATTTCCGTGGCTTTGTGATTTTCCTTACAACACCGTGAATTCTACTGTAGCCTTTATTGATTGATTGACTTTATGGATCCCACAGTGGAGAAATTTACTTGAGCTGATGTAAGGCCGCTGCATGCACAGTGCCCTCTTGTAAATGAAATTAAGTTAATGTTTCGTTAATTCAACTGTCATTAGGGTCCTTTTGTATTAGCAAGATTTTAGCACTTTTAGCGCTCTGAAAATCTTAGATGTGGTTCAGTCGTTTCACATAAGATAATTTCCATTTTTTCCCCAACTCTTCCTGCAGCAGAAAAGTCCAAAAAAACTGCTGTTTCCTCACCTGTATTGTCTCTATTGCGGATGCTAATTATAGCCATTATAACTTCAATATTAGTTCGTCAGACCATCTCAGTCATGTCTCCGAATATCAAGTAGTTTTTAGACTCTGGGTCTCTGAGCAAAGACCCTTAACCCCCACACTGCTCCCAGGGCACCCCACGATGGCAGCCCACTGCTCCCCAAGGGGATGGGATAAATGCAGAGGTAAACTTCTCCAATGTAATATCAATAAAGTTCCATTGTTATTATTATTATGTTAATGATGACTATCTTACCGGCTTCAGACAGGATTATTCTGAGCTCGATCCACATGTTTCACAGAAACACACTTTTAATCTATCTGATTAAATAAACAGTGGTTAAAAATCTTTTCTCCTTCACATATGCTGGAGTTTAGCAATAAAAAAAAATACAACAATTTCAGTGTGATTTAAATTGATGGATTGAATGATTAGTACAGATTAATTCATAGCAGAATAATTAGTTGTTAGTGTGGTTTTCTATGTTAATATTTGTGTCTGAGAACACATTAGATCTGCACAAAATCCTGTTATCCACAGAGTGACGGGGGAAAAAAAGGTCTTTGCTTACCTTAGAGCTGTATGCTTTGAGGTAACTGAGCCAAATGTGGGTAAAATCTGTTGCATGCTGTCTGTACACCGATAAAGAGAGGCGTTGTGTAGAAAGTTCTTTGGGAAATTTAAATAAAGATTCCTTCAAATCGAGGCCCAGATGGTTCTGATAAAGGCCCGTCTGAAATAAAATCGTTCGTCGTTCCACCAGATCCTTATCAAGGGTCTTCTCTTGAGCGTTGTCACATAGGCATTTTAAAGGTGTCTAGAGACGCACAAATAATTGACAGCCTTTGTTGTGTCAGCATTATTTATCTCAACATCACTATTTGCTCCTTAATTATCTAAAAACAAAAAAAAGCAGAAGCAATGTGGTTTACCAAGTTTATTTATACCTGAACTGCTTTCTTGTAGGATATAGTGTAAAAGATTGTGTTACATGCAAATGTATGGTATGACATCACATGATATTAATGTTGTTTAAAGGTTTTCTTGTAGGAAACAATTTATTTTTTTAAGTTCCTCACAGGTGCTCTCTTCTTATGAGGTCTGATGCTTTTAGACAGCATGGTGTAAGTCCTGTACAAGAAGCACTACGTTTCAGTTTTCTTTGAGCCAACCACATCCTGTGACGCTTGGCCTTGATAGCAGGAAAAAAACCACCTTCAAAATGAATAGCTATTGACCATTAGCACCTTCGACTGAACCTTTGCAGCAAGTGAAATGAAACGGCATTACAGTCGGTGAGCTTTTGGCGTCTGTGTGTGTTTCAGGTATGAACGGTGACCTTAGTCTGGTGGCTGCAGTCCTGGCTGTTGTCTCAGTGGTGTCGCTGAGTCTGCTGTCAATTTTGTGTCTGCGATGCAAAAAGAAATCAAGTAAGTAGATCTTTCTGAGGCTGGACTTGTGTCTGATTTTATCTCCTGAGGGAGACAGATTTGAACATTGCTTTGTTGATTTTCTTTTTGTTAATTATTTCTGCACGTTTGTCTTTTTTATTTTGAAACCTTTTGTTCATCACTCTTTTTTTTGATGGCATCAAAGCAAAGAGCAAAAATGAAGGCAGGAACACATGCAAACATATCTGGCTCAGCTTAAAACAACTATTTTGTTCATTTTGAAAGGACAGAAATACCATTGTCTGGATTTGTTGTCAGAAAAATAAGTTACCAGCTCAAAGTAAATCTTCCCTGTTTTCTATTCAGCAAAACAAAAAGATAAAACAGCATAAAGTATCAGTAGTCAGCCATTTTGTCTTTTTATTTTGAAACCTTTTGTTCATCGCTCTTTTTTTATAGCATCAAAGCAAAGAGCAAAAATGAAGACGGGAACACGTGCAAACATATCTGCCGCAGCTTAAAATAATAACATTTTGTTAATTTTGTAAGGATAGAAATAACTTTGCCAGAAAAACAAGTTATCAGCTCAAAGTACATCTTCCCTGTTTTCTGTTCAGCAAAACAAAAAGATGAAATTCAATGAAATTCAGTTTATTAATTTAGCGCTAATTCACAACACATGTCACCTCAAGGCACTTTACAGTTCACCAGATTATACAGTCAGATTGATTCAAAGTTTTCCATCTAAGGAAAACCAGTTGATTGCATCGACTCATTGACCCGAATGCAATCCCTCACACTAAGCATGCTTGTAGTGACAGAGGAGAGGAAAAGCTATCTATTAACAGGAAAAAACCTCCAGCAAAACCAGGCTCAGTGTGAGAAGCCATTTGCCGAGGCCGACTGGGGTTCATGTAAACAGAAACAAATAAATCAGCGTAAAGTATCAGTAGTTAGCCATATGTAAGTCATGGTGTAGTGAGTGCTACAGTATGCTAAACCTGAGGTCTGTTGTGGTCATTTTAATGGTCACAGCAAAGGAAGTCAATTATTTTTGACAAACTAAGCTTCTGAGAAGGGCTGAAGCTAAAATAAACAGCAGTTTATTAGGGGCACCACCTAATTAGCAAGTAGAGCAGCAAAGCTCTGCAGCATAATGTTAAGGTGCCGTCAGGAAGCATCTCAGATCAGTTTGTAATCGCACACCTGGTGACGATCAAATGATGGAGAAGGAGCTCAACCAGGATTCCTTCCCCGAAGTAAAAAACAGAATTTTCTTCAAAAATAAACAGAAAAAGCAAAAAATTAGGGGAAAAAAAAGCAAAAAAATGTATGTTTAATATCCCTGTTCAGGATTTTTATGACTTTGGTATAATCATTATGTCTCAAATGCAATGCTTATAAATGTTAATTGTTATAGTTGGGAACTCATGCTCAAATTATTTGTATTTATTTACCTTCTTGCCTTGTTTTTACCTGGCATTGACTTAAATTAATTGACTTAAATTGGATAAAAGGATTTGGGGCTAAATACAGTGCAAAAAAATAAATCTAAAAGTAAATTTTAAGTCATTTTTCTTAAAATAAGTGCATTTTATTCTTGAATTGGGGAGGTTATTGAGACACTTTGCCAATGCAAAAAGACAATTTACATAATATTTACATAATATGCACTACATTTCAAATGTGGTGCATATTATCCAATTATCTTATTTTAAGAATAAAAAAATTAATTCTATATCAAATCATCTTATTTACCTACTCAAATTAAGGGTGAATACATTTAATTTAAGAAATGTTTACTTATTTCTGGATGGTTTTTGCAGTGTATGCACAATATGTCGCCTTTAACATTGTTATCAGTCATTTTTTAACATATTGTTATGGGTCAGATAATTAAAATAATTACAATTAACAACAATATCTCTTTGGATCGTGCTGCCATGTGTGGGTGGGAGTGGGCTGGCCGTGTGTTTTTCATGCAGGATTTTGGGGTTCCTAATTAAAGCAGTAAAGTGGTGGGTTTTTGTACACATGCATGCATATTTATCTATACAACATAGTTTTTCTATATACTTATTTGTAAGAAACTTGTTGCTGATGCCGTCCTGCTTCCAGTGAGGACATTTTAAAATAGAAAAATCAAGTTTTTAATCAGCAACCTTACTGAGACGATTCTTTAATTACCCAGTGCTTCACTCATACTATTGTATGCCAGACCGACATAAGTTGGTTCCTATTAAAAGTTTGTTTTTTTATGTCATTTTGCATCTTTGCAGCTACTATACATGAGGAGTCTCAAATATATGACCCACAGATATTGTGAGTATCAAAACGTTTTTGCCGCCTTTTAGACTTCATTTGTTTTTTGTTCAAATTTCTTTAAATGTTTCAGATGATGATGATGATGAATTGGGCAATTGTGGGACAATGGGGAAATTAAAGGGCCCTTATCATGCTAAATGTATTTGTTACTAACTATGTTATAATGGTATTCCTGCACTTAGTGGTATTTCGTTTTATTCATTCATGTCTTAGTAATCTATATGAATGCTGCTCTCTGGGCAGCAGCCCTCGCCGTTCTGGAAAATGAGTAGCCATCGCCCTCCTACATAGGGCAGAGTTTACCCACCCTCTACGGGAAGCGCCCACCTTGACTGCGCCACGCCTGCCCAGTAAACAAACACCCACTTTCTGTGGTGATGTGAGGCAGAGTGTGGTAGTTTCTCCTCAAGGTTGAGAGAACCTGGCTCTTTTAGCAGCTTATCTGCAAAGTATCAGCAGCAGTTGATTTCTAGGTAGTTTCAAGTTGGAAAAATGTGTTTTTCAACAAAGACACTTTGTTGTTGACTTTATGCAGCTTTCCTAAAGAAAAGCCTTATTGCCAGAAGTGTCATGATGCCATGTTGCAGCTGCTTCAGAGTGAGGTTATGAAATGTGGAGAGCCAGCATCGTAATGGAGGCAAAAGCCTTTCTCCAATATTTCATAACAAAGAAATACTTTGTAGTGTCAAAGGTACCTTTTATTTATTTATATATATATATAAGAAGTCAAAGGTTGAGAGTTTGGAGGGAGAGACAATAATCTGGTTAAACGTGCATTTATCCTGTCCTGCAAATTATTATTACCATTTGTTTTATATTGTTTCTAAATATAGCAAACAATTAAAAAATAATTGATATTTATACCAAGAAAGATAAAAAACAGTTCACTGGAATTTGTTTCTAAATTTGAAGACACTTCGCTTCCTATCCAGGAAGCTTTTTCAATTCAAAATGTCAGAAATAGGGTTGAGTTCGACGCGTTATAAAGTTGGCCAAAAACAAAGCCTTGTTTTGGCTTAGAAAACATTCACATTGAACTGGATGAACGGGTCCGTCCCTCAGGAATGAGAAGTAGTTTGGGTTCTTTGTTAGCCTGCAATACCCCATACCTTTCTATGTCTCTGAAAGGGGGGTCATTAGAGGGAATTGTTGGCATGGCTGAAAAGGCCAAGTGTTCAGTTCCCCTGTGAACACCTCGCCTGTTCAGCCAATTAACCTTGCTAATTAGATAAGCAATTAAAAGGTCACTTTTACCTGATCTGGAACATTTATCTGTTAAAATAAAAGAAGAAAGAGTCTGTTATAGCTTAAAACTTCAAATTCATGTCATTCTGAAATTATTTGTTGGCAGCCAGCGTGGGGGCAGCAAATTTGCAGTGATGAGATCAAAAACAGGTAAGAATAAAACATAAACATTTTTGGAGGTGGGAATTTGATGCTGAGGGTTGGTTGATCGTTTTTGGTTCTTTTTTTTATTTTTCAGTCACCAGAGCCAATCCGATGTCTTCACCCTCAGAGTATGTACAGAGTGACGATCTTCTTATCTTATATAAACAGATGCTATCACAGTCTGCAGGTTGCATTTGATAGAAAAAAAAGAGTCAGAAGGATTCTTTAATTCAGTTTGTTCCTTTTCTTTAACAAACACATTTTAAATACCTTTGAAATTTTTCAACTATATTGCAAAGCCTTTTCCCTTGAGAGGAAATGAGGAAAAAATTAGGTAGGGTAGGGTTTAAAACCTTTGCACTTGCTTACACATCATCTTATGTCCATTTTTTATCTACAGTACTTGTTGAAGAGGTTTCGATCCATCTTTTTAGAAAAACAGGCAATTTTATCTTCAGCACATAATTTAAAGAGGACTCCCGCACACTGTCCATCTTACAGAAGAAGACATTTATTTGCAACATTTTGGTACTAGACAAACAGATTTTGCCTGATAAAGGTCTAGTCTTGAAAGTTTGCAAAAAAATGTCTTCTTCTGCAAGTTGGACATGCACCTTTCATGTTATAAAGATGTGCAATGTGCAAAGTAATATCTTCAGCACATAGAAATTTACCCTGCTTTTAATGCATCTAACAGGAAAAGCACCACGCAGATACTATGGTATAAAAGTAGGAGTTTAGTCACTTTTGCTTTTCCAGATAAAACAAGTATTTAAAGAAAATTTAAAAGGTAAGACTGCATCCTTTTTCCGTTGCTGCCCACCATTCCAAACTATTGAAGAGATTAAGAATTAAGACAGCTGGTGGTGTTCCTAGTAGTAGATTTCCATGCAAAGTTAGATAAACTAAAAACTCTAATTTTACAATGCTTGAAGAATCTCAGATCAGATCCTGCATGCCTAAGTTAGCCTGTTAAATGTTAGAGTTCATGGAAGTAAAAATTAGGAGAAACTCACACAAAATGAGTTTGTTTGCTTTGCTTTTCTCTCGCTAATGTTGGCAAAAAGTCCATGAAATTGGGAAAAAAAAACTGCTTCTCTCTGATGGAAGCAGAACTTTGCTTTAAACAGTTGCATCTGAATGAACCGACCATATGACTCCTACAGTAGCAGCCATTAAAAATGGCCCTTCCCAGTCAAATGGCAGCCGAAATGGCAGCCCACTGCCCTGCAGCTCCCAGCGAAATCCAATCCAACTTCCAGCCACTGGCCTTCTCCTGGGCATCCTTTTTTTTACTCTGACTCCACCCTTTCACTGAATAACAGGGTCTGACCAGGAAATAAAGCTTCTCTTTAGATCATAATGTCCAGAAGTCTTGAGAGAAAGAATATTTTAGTACAAATATTGATGTTTAAAAAACATTTGTTGGGGACCAGCCAAGGACCCATCAAGAAAGTGGGGAAATTTTGAATGGCTACTACTGTACTACAACAAGTCCTTTAGACAATTATCGCCTCAGAACACAGGTTTGAGTATAATCCAAAGTTTTAGATATGGATAAAACCAAACAACAGATCAGGACACACACCTCCTACAGTATGTTTTGCCTTGTTTTTTGCAGCCACCTCATTTTGGCCCCCTTTAGTCACTAAACTCTTTTCTCTAGGGTCTGACAGCTGAAGCTTAGCCAAAACATGGTCATTAACATGAACTAGAACTACATTTTGATAATGTTTGTAAAATTGCATTCAATTTATCTTCAATTTCAGTTTATTTATATTATTATTATTATTTTATTCGTGCTATCACCAATTGACAGCACGTTTTTTCAAGGCACTTTACAGAGACCTTAAAAAGCAAACAACCAATCTGTAGTATTGGCCTTTTCAAAGTTAACCTTAAGCTCATTGAAATGCTGACTTTGTGGGTCTGCGCAGAAAAAAAACTGTTCAAACCTCCAACATATCAGGCAATGCTGCAAAAAATGACAGACTGGCAGAGCTACAAAGCGTTTTTGCAGCTTATCCTGTTGAATCATGGGATGTGCTTAGTTTTTCCCATGTGGAGTAGTGACAGAAAGGAGTCTGTTTTACAAAGATTGGAAAGAGCAGGTCAGTTCTATTAGCGCCACATTTTATTATCAAAATGTGGCCTAACTAACTCTGTCCCACATTACTCGCCAGTCGCTTCGTAGGTATCACCCCCTAAAGTCAACAGCATGGCTCTGGACCACCCAAAGGACTTCGCTATTCATATGGTTTAACAAAACACATGAATTAGGAAATCAGACATGTTTGTCTTATGCTTATTGGAACTAAATTGACTGTGAGGGAATAATGAGCTGTCCCCCTGTGTCGTTTAGCAGTTTGAATAATAAAGAACAACTGTTTTCCAGAGACACTCCTGAGGAGAATCAATTTCAAGACGGTAAGCTGCTGCTCCTCGGTATGAATGCGTAGAAAAGAAGCCTGAAACTTCTTTAAGTAACCAGTTGTGCGATCAATCTGTGTTTGCAGCTCAAACTGAAGAGCAGGACTATGAAAATGTGTCAGGTTGTAAGTTGGTTTACGCTGCAGTACTTTTTTGAAGTATTTTTTAACAGAATTCCCACAAGCGGCTTTTATATTAATGCTACTTGCTGTGTTCTTACAGTGCAAACAATCAGCTCCAGCCTGGAACATGACTACGTGTAAGTCTCATTTATTTAAGTCTCCACGCTTTTAATATTTCTAAACCCCTGCGGCCGACAGCATCATGTGGAGAGCCTGCTGGTTTTGAGCCAACAGTGTCCATTATTTTGTGACTAATCAGCTGCTTTGAGAGACATTAATCTCCATTACGTAAATTTGATTTTATCTGAAATGAGAATTGAGTTAACTTTTGCTTTCAAAAGAAAGCAGTGGGAATTTCCTTTGATTTGCTCTGCATAAAAATTGAATATTCAGTGAGAAGCTACAGACTAGGTGTTGAATCATAGTTAGAATAAAACTGGTTACATTTTCCTCTGTATTACAAAAAGCTTTTGTTTTGTGTTATTGTTTTTTCTTTTGTTTTTTTTTTTTGAGGTTTTAGCAGCACTAGTGGCTCGTTATTGTAGAGTAGTCTGATAGAAAAGGGGGTACAAGAGAGAAGGAGAGACAGCCGGCAAAGAACCACAGGCCGAACCCGGTCTCATCTACTGCTGGCTCAAGGTTGTGTTGGCCCTTAAAGAGAGGTGGATTTGGGGCCCCACTTGTCATAATCTTTGGACGTTAGATTTGAGGATTGTTTTCTTGTTGTTTATGTATTATTTCTGTTGCTTAATTCTGTTATCGGTGTACCCTTGTTTATCTTAGATCTCTTCCGCTTCCCTTTTATTTAGAGTTTCAGTGCATTTTAATCTCACTTTCCCATGTTAATTAGTCTACTTCCCTCAGTCTCCCTGCTTACTTTCTGCCTCAGCTGCTCCTCGTTATCCGCTGATGACCACATCTGCTTGTGATGTCATTCTCCTCACATCCCTCAGTGTTTAGGTTCACTGTAGGCCAGCGATCTCCGCTGGAGCCTTAAGTTCTGCTACCACTATTCTCTTAATTTTTAACAAATTAAAGTTGATAATTCCTTTGAAATATTTTAATTGATCTATTTTGAAACCAAATCAAATTTAATAGTATTTGAATTTTCAACAAACATTTCAAACATGTTAGAATCAGGGTTTGTGTTAAAACTCAAGCCCAGATGGCAGTCCCCTGATGGTTTGAGGTACCCAGACTTAGGCTCAGTTCACTTATGCCTTGGGCCAGCTCTGATCTTGTATGGAAATGTAAGGCATAAAGGTAACCGTTCAGTAAAAAAAACAGTTAGGAAAAGGAAGGAAACAAGGAGAATCTCATATTAACATCAGGATGAACTGAGAAACACAGGGCCAACATTACCCTGAAAGAGACATTTCTATTTCATTTTTTTTCCAAATAGAAAAAATGAAATAGAAATGTGAAAATAGAAATATGAAATAAACCTTACTGACTCTAACACTGAGGAGTAATAATTGGTACAACAAAGGTGGTTATCAACTCCATAGGTAAACTTAAGTTAACTGGCTCCTGAGCTACATGGTCTCATTGTCTCCCGCTTCATCTGGGACCGGGTCGCAGAGGCAGTAGTCTCAGCAGGGACTCCCAGACTTCCTTCTCCTCAGACACCTCCTCCAACTCTTCTAGGCCAGTGGTGCTCCCAGGCCAGCCGAGAGACATCGTCTCTCCATCGTTTCCTGGCTCGTCCTTTGGGCCTCCTCAGGATGGGAGGCGACCAGGGGGCATCTGAAAAAGATGTTGAGCCACCTCAGCTGACTCTTTTCGATGTGGAGGAGGAGCAGTTCTACTCCAAGCCTGAAAGACTGAGAACCGCCACCTTTATGTGGTGGAGGGGGTTTCAGTGCCTGGATGATCCCAGACGCTGTGTTTTGGTAGGGTCTCCCAAGGCAAACAGGATCTTGGTGACAGATCAGACAAAGAGCAGTTCAATAGCCCCTATGAAAAGAAAAAAAGATTGAGGTACGAGACGCCCGGCTGAAAGAGCAACGTGACGCCATCCTCCAGTGGACTCACCACCTGCAGAGGAAACCATGATGAAAGAGGAGCAAAGAAGACTGAGCAACAATCAGAGAAGTTGACCCAATCCACGGATGACTGATCTGAGCTGGGTTCCCAGAAAATGTGAAAATAGAGCCTTAGAGCCAATCAGAATGAAGAACCAGAAAATAAGGTTAGAAAATAGAAAGATCTGCAGCCAAACCATTAAAGCAGGAATTTCTCACCTATAAACTGAAATCCCCTCAAAGATAGAAAATCCCTGGGAATATAATTAACTCTCCTGGATTAAACAAAACAAAGAAAAAAACAATTCAATTTAAGAAACTTTATGAATTGAGAAAAACAGGTGGAAAGAAAAATAGACTAAACTATAAAAAAGCATGGAGTACTGCTGAGCTGAACATTAACTCATGCAAACAACTGAATTTGAAATGAAAGACTGTGTTTCACTTTTTCACAGAGCACCGATCGCAGTGTCATTATATGAGAACGAAAAAAGCCATTTAGCAGGTAAGTAGTTTATGCCTTAAACCACATATTAACACGTCATTCATCTGCATGTCCTGCTCATAGAGACATCAATAAGCCTGAGGCTTGTTCAGAATCACTGAAACAGTACGTAGCTCTTTTCCTACTCTGGGTAGAGTTCCTACTGTTGACCCCATAAAGGGTCCTAGGCCTAGGACCTAGGAACAGGAGCTAGGGGGCTATAATTTGAGGTTTTTGGTTGTTTTTTTTTTTGTGTTAGTCTTTCCTCATACAGTGTCTATCACATGTGGTTTCAGATGTATGATTATGACCAGCAAACTTACTCTGTTGGGGTAAAACAATAAGCGAAGAGTCCTCGTGTAGAAGGGATCTGGGTTAGGTGCCTATACTTATAAAACAAAGATATGTAACTGAGGCTCTGGAATTGACCTTGTCCCTGTGGCAGAGGCCAGACTGACCAGTAGGATTTTTAACTGGGACTGAGCTCACAGTGACCCACGCTCTAGATCAGTGGTTTCAGGAAATTTACAGGAAGTCAAAACAAAAAACTTCTAAAACATTTTTTCAGAGTTTTTTCAGAGTTGCTTGGTGAAGTTAAAAATGGAAAAAAACAAAGTCGCCTGTGTGCAGAGCTAAAAGCTGGTACTGTTCCTCTGGTGGCCGAAGTGGGCACAATTAAACGACCCCCATTCCTAAGGGGCAGACCCTTATGTTCAGTTTAATTTGCATGTTTTTAGGCCAAAACAAGGCTTTGTTTTTGCTTCACTCTATAAAGCCTCGAACTTTACGTTATTTGTGACATTTTTAATTGAAAAAGCTTCCTGGATGGGAAGCAAAATGTCTTCAACTTTTTTGGAATGTCTATGACCTGGATGACTGAGAATCTTCACCAGCACAATTAAAGGGATTTGATTTTCTTTAGTGAACTTATTGTCGTTGAGGATGGATTCATATAAAATATTACATCTTTTTTTGTGTTTTTATCTGAGAAATGCTTCACCAAGATGCAAAAAACAAAACAAAACCCATGATTTCTTTAGATTGAATAAAGCAGACACTGTTTGGTGGCAATATAACGAAAAAACTTGTTTTAATGAAAGTTATCAAAAACAGTGGGCAACAGAGTCAGGGACTTTTCTGTCTTTCATAATAAATGTGTGGTTTGAGGTTATGGTGTTCCTTTGTGTCTAGTAGATGTAGTAGTTTAATAAATACATAATATTTTTTGACGTTTCATGACATGAATGCTTTGTTTCTAGAAGCTGAGCAGAATCCTGGCCTTTATGGGAATGTTTTCCCGTCTCTGTCAATAACAGAAGGTAAAATCCAGTCTGTGCTGCCAGTGTTTCAGCATGAAAATCTTGATGTTGTAGTGGCAGATGACTCACTCACAATACTCTTTCACCAAAACAGATGACGATTATGAAAACGCAGAGTTCCTGGAACAGCAGGAAAGCGGTGAGTTCTGATCTATGTAATAAAATGTAAAGTGATTTTTTGGCAATTTCATGCAAATACAAACACGGTGACCTGAAGCAATAAAACAGAGCAATGTAATAAAGCCAAGCTTTCAGCTAAGGTGTGATATGAGCCACAAGACTCAACACATCCGTCCTTCTCTATAAATTTGGCATCATTCAAAATTGAAACAACTAAAACATGAAATCCAACAGATGCTGGATGTGGTACCCAATGAGGGCAAAATGAAGGAGCAGCTGTTCTGTAAATAAAATGCTACAATCTGAAGCTTTTTACTCACGTAAAAGTACAAATTTTAAAACTACTTAAAAGTAATGCATCAAAAAATGTCACAGGTGCTTTCAACAGAATATGTTTCTACAATTCTGGATTTTAAGTTCCTTATACCTAATTTTCTTTGTTCTATAACTAATGGCAAAAGTGTCAAATTTAATTTTGCATCATCTTGAAAAACTATTTATTTTGGTATGTGGCGAACAAGTTGGTGGAGTCCAACCATTAAGAAAATTGTCTGGATAAAACAAATTATTTTGAATGTTTTTTTTTTTTAATACCAACAGGCCTTAATGAAAATAAGCTTAACTGAAACAAAACTAACTGGTCTGTTTTTAAAATGTATTGAGAAAGTAGAAATCATTGAAAAAAAAAATATATAAAAAAGTTGTCTAAAACATAATTACAGTTAAGTTTCCAGTTAAATTCTACTTAAGGTTAAGTAAGGTAACAAAATATTTGTAAAATAGTGTGGAATTATTGTAGTCATCACGTTCCTTTTTGTTGTTTTTAAATACAAGTAAAAAATTTTAGGTTTTACAGATTTATCAGAAAACACCAATCCAACTGGACTCACTGCATCCATTAGAAATCATGTTCATTTTGTCATCTTTCTTTCCAGATGAGCCCGATTATGTGAATGAAAATGGAGAGTCCACCTGAACGCACCACGTCTGCTGCTTTTCATCCTCAGCATCTGATCAAACTATATTTTAAACCCTCAGTGTTCAGTTTTCTGTGTGTAAATATCCCAGCACCTTTAGGTACAACCTAAGACTGCCATCTAGTGGTCAAAATATTCACTTCTGTACAGTTGGGTCATCTTATTTGCCTAATAAAGTTAAGTCTATTTTAAAACATGTTTTAATTTTATTAAGTTTCCCATTCTTGGGGAGTTATATTGCTGATGCTTAAACAGTATTTAGATTTTTTTTTTTTTTTTCAGATTTCTTCGAATTGAATTTTAACCACAAAACACAGAAGTGTGGTTGATTAAAAATGATTACTTGCAGAAGGTTTGGTAATGATTTTTTTTTTTAAAACTACCCTTTAAATATTAGACATTTTTTTAGCCATAAGCATAAACAGAGGCCTTAGTTTTAGGGAAATATTTTTATAAATCAAACTCCTTGTCAAGAACCAGCTAAAACTGTTTTTTCTTATTTGCTCTGAAGCAAAAAAAGATTTTCTATCACTTGTTTTGAGTCACAGATCTTCAGTCTCAACAAGATCATCACAGAGAAGGTTTTTATTGTTAGAACGGATCAGACGGGTGAATTCAGTGCCAAACAGACAGAAGGTAACATCTACAAACACCGCATTAATACCTTTTACAGAAGCTTTACATATACAGTATACTCTCATGGTGCTGCAGCTTTGATCTCAGGGGGAGATGCTAACATTCACACGCATTCAGGGGTTAACGGAGCTGACTTGTTACAAATGAAGCAGGGCCCTCACCGCTGCTTTACAGACAGGAGCTTGCAGTATCTTTGAACTTTTGACAAAAAAGGTCAAAAATGAAACGTGTGGGTAAAGGCTCTTCCTTTCAGCGGTTCGTCTTTAAGCAGCACGTTGATGTAAGGCGGAGAGCTCTATTTGTAAAATGACAGCAGGTCTGAGAGGAGCACAGATTGTGCTGCGAGTCAGAGCCGAGGAGGGAGATCTCTGCAGGTTAAGGTCAGGTGTGTTTAGGACTCTTCTGGGGATGTTTAACGAGATGATCCACCTCTCACACACTCGCAGACAGACACTCTCCAGCTAACAGACGCTTTAGACACTGCTGAGGGCGTCCACGCCAGGCAGCACTTTACCTGAGGACATAAAGAGACAACTTTAACCTCTGGGAGTTTTATTTTAGCACCACTTTGGTTGTGTTTTTAGAAATTAAACAAGTTTTTTTTTTTAAAGTTTTCAAACACCTACCTTCCAGCAGCTCCAGACTGGCTCCACCTCCAGTGCTCACATGGCTAACTTTGTCCTCTGTGTTCCACTTGGCGCAGCAGGTAGCAGTGTCACCCCCACCTGGACAAAGCACAAACAGCAACAGATTTAAAGAATGAATTGCATAGTCGCTTACTACTTATGCATGGTTATTAACCACAGAGTTGTTCTTAAACAAAAAAAGCAATAAAACAGCTTCACTATCTACTTTTTCTTACCGATGATTGTGATGCAGCCTGATTTGGTCACTTCCACCACTTTGTCCATCAGATTCTTCGTTCCTTTGGCGAAGTTATCCCACTCAAACACACCAACTGGACCGTTCCACACGATCTGCTTGGCCCGGCCCACTGCTTCGGCGTAAAGCTTGGAGCTCTCTGGTCCGCAGTCCAGACCCTAACACACACAGAAACGTGGTTCAATTAGTGAGAGTTAGCAAAAACCTGTCAGGAAAGTAAAAGCGTGTGATATTTAATGACTAAGGCTGAGTCTTCGATTTACCATCCAGCCGGCGGGGATCCCGGCAGCGACGGTAGCAGTGCCAGTGGTGGCTTTCTCATCGAATTTGTCTGCGGTCATAAAATCAACAGGAAGGGTGATCTTGACTCCGTTCTTCTCGGCTTTGGCCATCAAGTCTTTGACGATGCCGGCACCTTCCTCATCAAACAGAGAGGTACCAATCTGAATAAGAAAAAACAAAAAAAAAATCCATTTCAGCCACTGACTTAGGTTTTTATTCTTACCCCTTCCTTCAAGGTAGGGCTGTTTTTATGTTTCCGCTGGTAAAGCTGGAAGGAGTATGAATTATTTGCTATAAAAGGTGAAACACAAAACTCCTAAAAACAGAGGCAGGTACAGAAAATAGAAAGTTCTGAGGATCAAACCCTGTGGAACCCAACAAGAAAAAGGTGACTGCATGAAAATGATCCCACCAATCTGCTTCAACCTGCGTCACTCCTTACTTCCTGTGACCCAACATTGCAAAAGTCTTTAAAAGAGATCTTCCTGAAACTTCCCCTTTTAACTAAGCTGTTGAGAAACTCCCTGTTGGTCCTTTTCCTGCTGTTTTATTTTATCTCTGTTCAGGCCAGGCTCAATGTTTGAGGATCGTGATGGAGACAATTTCCCCGTCAAACAAATAAAAGAACAAATTTCCAAACCCTTTTGTTAAAAAGATAGAACTGAGGTCACAGACTATCGGTGGTAGAACTAAAACACACAGAATGGTTTCACAACACTTCACTAACCTGTAGCTCATTAGATTACAGGAAACCTAAATTATTATTTCTATAAAAACTAAATTTGTGTCATTGAGTTCCAGCTTTTAGTCAGTTTCTGGTAGCTGGGGAGATCCAATCGTCTCTTAGGGGCCTTCAGACCAGGACTAGCATCACTGAATGGAATATCACGATATCATGATTAATTTATTCTTTTTGGACTGATCAGGTCTCACCCTCTACTCCATCTTTACAACCTGAACATCTAATTTTTAAGCTTCATTAACCTTCAAGTTTACTTAAGCAAAACATGTTTTTTTCTTTTCTTTTCGAGTTTTCTAAGATGTCCCCTAAAACATGCTAAGATTGCCCCTTTTTTCCTATGAATGGTCCAACAAGAATTTTTTTTTTTCTTGCCAAAAGAGACTGGGTATGATGATCCCTCTAAATATTAATTACACTTCAAAATACTTGCCAATGAAGATGTTTAACACTCCCAAAAATGGTAATAGATCTGGAAATCAGGTCCTGCTGTAGATTGTAGGGTTGGCACGGTTTCGATAATAAAGACAAGTTTTGTTTTATTATTGTTAATTTTAGTGTCATTTATTTCACTACCATTTGCAATTCTGTTGAGAACGCATGCTCCATGGGGAGGTTGGGAAAAAAGGGAGATTTTCTAAGTTAACATTTTGTCTTTTTTCTATCCCTGTGGTAGCAACAATTTTATCAAATATTGACCTGTATGAATCAGGTCAAAAGGCAACATCATACAGATTTGACATCGGAAAAAACAAAAAAAGATCAAACAGAACTCTAATTTTTTTTTGTTCTTATTTTGAAGGGTGTGAAACCGTGAAATTGAAAAAAATTATGTTTTTACAGCTTTTGTACCGCTCTGTCATACATTACTGCCAAGCTAATTATTAACATTAGTGTTAAGGCTGGAATCGCCTCATCCTAAGCATTACACTTCATTCATACTGGAAGATATTTCATATATTTTTACAGTTTATATCTCATGATGGGAAACAGTTCCAATGAAATTAAAATAATATCTGTTTATGGGTGAAGTAGTAGTAGTAAACATTGAAACATAAAAATATTGAAGTTCATAAAGTAAAACATGTTCAACTGTTTCAGAACAGCTCCATGTTTCCGTCTGCCTACCCTGAACAAGCTTAAGCACTAAAATATGGATATTTAAAAGTGATTTTAACTGATTAAGAAAACGCAGGTGATGAGGGGTGTAGGGAGGCCTTCCTCACCTCCATGTTGTTGAGGACTTTGAGGAATGTGAAGGCCATGCCGCCACCGATGATCATCTCGTCGACCTTATCCAGCATGTTGTCGATCAGCTGGATCTTATCTTTCACCTTCGCCCTGAAGCGGAGACCAGAGGGCAGAAACCAGTCAGCATAGAAGATAGAAAATTAACTAGAGCGAAAAAAGAAAAAGAAAAAAGGGGGGGGGCAAACTAAGCTAGACGGTTATGGCCGACTACATCTAACAGTAATTTTTCATCTGTAAACCAACCAGGGAATCAAATTCTGTTGGCAAGGTGAGAGCAAAACAAAAGTTCTAAGCCTTTTATGGAGACTTAAAGGAGAAGTTCGGTTTTTTACACTTTAAGCCCATTTTCTGTAGTGTCCAGGATGAAATCGAATGAAGGACACCAAAATTTTGACAATTGGTCCTGTCTCTGCTTTTTGGCTCATTTAGAATCACCCCCTGGCTGCTTTAGAATGGCTAGCATAGAGCATGTCTGATAATGTCCTTAAAACAACCTTAAACGTTCTTTTTTTAAAATATGCTACTCACCGTGTCGTCAGCGCTGTTCAATGACGTTCCAAAAAAAGTTTTGTGAAGAAAAAACGTTCCTGTAGTGTTTTATTTAGCATTTTGTAAATCCCATTGAGTTCTGTAGGAATAGTCAATATTCCGCTGCCACCGGAAACGGAAATGGGGCCTGTTTACACAGTTGTAGTCTTTTCGCTTCACTCTGTGTACTCCGACGTCGAGAATCAAGAATCCACCTTTCGTATTCCATTTTCAGAGTTTTTTAAAGTGTTTAACAGAGACGTTAGCACCTCGACGTCGGAGTACGCAGAGTGAAGCGAAAAGACTACAACTGTGTAAACAGGCCCCATTTCCGTTTCCGGTGGCAGCGGAATATTGACTATTCCTACAGAACTCAATGGGATTTACAAAATGCTAAATAAAACACTACAGGAACGTTTTTTCTTCACGAAACTTTTTTTGGAACGTCATTGAACAGCGCTGACGACACGGTGAGTAGCATATTTTAAAAAAAGAACGTTTAAGGTTGTTTTAAGGACATTATCGGACATGCTCTATGCTAGTCATTCTAAAGCAGCCAGGGGGTGATTCTAAATGAGCCAAAAAGCAGAGACAGGACCAATTGTCAAAATTTTGGTGTCCTTCATTCGATTTCATCCTGGACACTACAGAAAATGGGCTTAAAGTGTAAAAAACCGAACTTCTCCTTTAATCTATCACTGAAATATTAATAGTCCAGATTATAGGAACCCCGATTATAGCCTGCCCCTCGTTAGACCCTGAGCTTTACTAAAGAATGAAGAAAAAAAAAAAAAAATCACCTTCCAATAATTCAGAATTTTGAAATTGAATTTTTGGAAATGTATCCTGTTTCCATTGTCATTTGTCATTAAAAACGTAAAACAGCCTTTCCAGAGCCAGCAGGTCTTTACATTAAATTTTAGATCTAAAAATACTAAATTTGAGTATGAATGTATGGCTGATATTTCTACAGTTGGAAGTCACTGACCTTGAAATTTACAGACAGACGTATGTATGAGTGGACATGAAAGGACAAATGGACATTGGAACAAGAAAAAGCAGGAAATGAGAAAGAAAATGGAGAAATAAGGGTGGACAGGAAGAAAGGGCATGAAGGACAGTTTGATGTGAAGGGAGGAGAGTAAAAAAAAAGAAAAAGGAAATAAGGATGGATGGGAAGAAAAGAAGGACATAAGGGGTCAGAGGAAGAAAGAAACAAAGGAAGATCTTCTCACCCTCCCAGGATGGCCAGGAAGGGTCTCTGAGGTTTCTCCAGAGCCATGGCAAAGTAGTCCAGCTCCTTCTTCATGAGGAAACCAGCAGCTTTCTGAGGCAGATTAACTCCCACCATGGAGCTGGAGGAGAAAGAGAGAAACACACATTTACAACCAAGCAGGAGGCTCAGATCTAGCATGCCTCTGGAAAGCATCAAAGAATTCCATTCACCGTAATGTCTGCTTTAACGATAGATATTGGATTAAAAAAACCAAACAAGTTTAACAGGAAGGCTACTCTATTTCGAGTTAATTTAAATGCAATTAGAGGAAGAGGGGGTATGAAAAATAGGTTCATACCCCTTTTCAGACAATTTACATAAATCAATGTCAGTTCTCTGGCTGTATATACTGACAGGTATATTTGGTGGAGGGTGTGGTTTCCATTTATGTTCAGATGAATTTAGTTTGGAAATTGGTGTTTGGTTGATTTTATCCAGTCTCTTTTGTGTATTTGGTTTATGCATTTGTTTATTGTCTGAAATAAATTCCTATTCAGTCAAATTCCTATTCATAGAACAAGCCAAGGTTTAAATCCTTTAGAAATTTCCATTAGTTTTTAATTCAATTTTAACTTCAGATTTTCTATTTTAGTTTTTATTTGTTTTTAGCATTTTTTTTAATTTCTTAAGTTCGTTTTTAATTTTTAATAATTTCAGTTATAGTTTAAGTTTTTTTTTTGTGATGACTTTTATCTAAATTAATTTTCTAAACTGTAATTACAGTTTCAATGAGTTTTTGTGTTTTGCAAGGTCTAGTTTTTATTCCCGTTTTCACCATTTCATTAGTTTTAGTTAATGATAACCTTACTGTAGAAAATAGCCCACTAACCAGCAACATACCTGTATTTTGGACAGCCTCACCAACAATAAACACGTGTTTTCATATTCAGAACCAGTTTAGTCAAAGGTCACACTGGTCACCGGACCGACTCTGTATAAAACTACTCAGACGATGTGGCTCTTCGTGTTTGTGGAACATAATTCACAGTGTGGCTTTATTAAAGTACATATATCATTTCCCACTGATTATTATCTAACTATTTAGCATTCAGTTCACCTGTGAGCTCTGTGAGCCGTCCCAAAGGCATCGTTGACGTAAACATCCCCCAGTTTGGAAAGAGACGCCCTGAAGGAGTCGGTCTGTTCCTGGGTGGCCTTGGTCTGAAGGACAAAGAAATAAAATTAAGAAAGAAGACGACGAGAAAAACTAAGAGACAGAGTGTCAGGGCAGCAAAAACGACTGATCCCTGCTTTTTCTTCCATGGTTTCAAAGTATGATAACACAAAGAAAATCAGCAGATGAATCAGCCCTGCAGAGGACAGTGAGAGGAACTGGAATTATCATCAGTCTCCAAGGATCGTTTAGGATTTGTTTCAGAGCTGCTGCTGCAATAATGTTTGGGAAAAAATGACATCTCTGCTAACAATCTGAACTGCTCTTACCAGCATCCAAAGCTGAGATAAACAGGCTGCCACACCTTTCTGACTGCAAGCTGTTTCACTCATACATGTTTAATTGAATGAGATTTTTTCCCCACTAATCTGAAACCCCAGGGTTATACAATCTTGCGGTTTAGTTCTACAGCGAAACCCGAATCCCTGCCACTCTGAATTAAATAACTAGAATACAGAGCACAGAAAGAGTATGCGAGATGTGTCCATATACTTTAGATCTGACTTATGTGCAGTAAAGTAAAGGGAGACATGATGCAGATGGTTTGCTTCATATCAGGTTTCTGCTGCACTTTTATAGCCACAGGTCACCAGTGTCGGACCGGAGGGCAGATAAAGGTCAAGAGGGTTCTTCAATGTCGAGCAAATGTCAGACACTTGGACTGCTGCTCAGTTTCTGCTGCCTGCACTTCCACCTTCCTTTGGTGTCTCCAAAACACACCATCTAATCTCCATAGATGAAATAATAATTTTTTTTTTTAACTCTACACTGTTGAAATGTATTTACAGGCGCATAACTCATTATCTTTCTAATTTAGATTAATCAAAAAATATCTGTGAAAAGCAATAAAGTGATTTGATTTTTAAGACATGACCAAAAAGTGTTTAATGTTACAAACTATAATAGGAAGATAATAGAATATAATTTATGAAAACCAAATGTGTTTTTTTAACTCCCATGATGCTGTGGGGGGGATTCTAAGCACTGCTCCATAGGGGTTCATGATTTAGCTGGGACACATGGCTTCAGTTTACTGCATTGCCCTCATCAATAGTTGCAGAAATCTTTCAATCACCCACTGGCAAACTTGTCAGGTTTGCAGCAGCAGGGAAACACTTAAACATGGAGGATAGTTGGTTCTGAGGGCCCGTCTATCTCAAGTGGGTTGATTTGGCAGCATAGAGGTCTAGATGCATTAAAAATAGACCTGTCCAACACTGTAGAAATAAAGCAGCATGCCATTCAGGCCTCCCAGCCCAGGAAAGCCAGGAGACCTTCAGGATAAATGCCAGCAGGTCAACACTGTCGATTGGGGGCCATCGAGGGATGATGTTGTTTGAGCCGTTTTTCTGATACCTAAACTTCATGTGGAAAACTATGGTAAAGAGGACAATCTCATAACTGTAAATGTTTCTACAGATAGCCTTTTGATGTACAGCTTTGACTTTGACACAGAGGTCATTTTAAGACCCTGTCCCAGTTTGATTTCTCAGACTAAACAGATCAGGAATCTTTCTACTACATCAGTTAACATGATGCAAACTTTAACCGGTGAGGTTACTTAACCTAGAAAACTATGTAAAGAGTCTTGGGTCATTAAGTTCATTTTGAAACTATTTTTTCTACTAAACTGATTCCATTCATAGTGAAATATTTCATTTTAAATACAACTGCCCCAGTTTATGGGCCCTTTGTAATCATTACAACAAATAAAATCTTAGACTTTGAGTGTCCATAATGACCTTCCAGCATCAGCCCAGATGCAGGTGAAATTATGCGAGTCAAGGGAGCTAAACCCAAAGCTCTGCAGCTTTTGATTTTATAACAACCTAAAATAAACACTTAAGGTATATATAGGCACTCCCATTTTATTCCAGTGATGACATCACTCGCCTCTTAAAGACCAGGTCCATTATTTTTCAGCCTGACCGCAGAAGCAGACTCACCTTGTTTCCAGAGGCGTCCTTGCCTTTTCCCTCCTCTGCGACGTGGAAGCGGAGGTTCTCCAGCAGGATGACGGATCCAGCAGCAGGATTAGCGCATGCGGCCTCGACCTCTGGACCCACACAGTCCTTCAGGAAGGTGACGTCCCTGCAGAGCCCAACAAATGGCGCTCAGGTTTTACATCCTTTCTATAAATCCTATTGGATATTTATTGTTAATGATTTTTTTTCGCCTAATGGATGAATCGGCTTTTTGAAGGCCTTAACATATTAAAAAACTAAAAGTTTGCAGTAAATTGTCCTGATAAAAATGTAAGTATTTTAACTGTATTAAAAATGGGCGTGGCCAGATGGCTCTACAGCATCCCCTAAAGTGAGATGGGCAAATCGTAAGTCACAGAGCATCCCAAATCATAAAAAAACAAAACATTTTGGTTGTATGCTCTAAAAACCCACAGGAAGTTAACCATTTTAGGTCAAAGGTTGATTTTTGGGCATTTTTCATTTTTGTTCCGGTCGAACTTTAACAAACTGCTCCTATGGACTGAGCCAGTGGCTTCAAACTGATCTGTACACAGTTAAGGCATGTGAGATCTAAAGATATAAAAATCTTTTTAAGCTAATGTGGTGTGGCCAGTAAGCCGGCCTCGAGGTAGGCATACTCACCAAGATTTGTGAAAAACGATAACTTTCACAAAAAAAACGTATCCAAATTGAACCAAGTTTGGGAATGAGAAGGTTTAATAAGAAAAATAAAATAATTCTAGCTCATGAAGATATTAACCATGTGGATCAGGGACACTTGTTTTAATTTGCAAATATTTATTTTGCCACCATTTAGATCAAATTTTCTTTAAAAATTTCATGCAGTCCTTTTGTGACATGAATAAAACATGAAGCAGTGCATTAGAGGTCACAATTTGGATGAGAGAAAGCCAACATTTGGCATTAGCACAAACAAAACAAAAAAAAACAATTATCCACTCACTTTCCAAGGAGAGTCTTAAGCTCAGCAGCAACGGGCTCCAGGGAATATTTCTCCGGCATAGGGTTCCCATCAGGACGTCCCAGGTGGCTCATCAGCACCACGGACTTCGCCCCGTGGTCGAGACAGTGCTGGATGCTGGGAACTGCTGCCTTGATCCTAAAAATCCCAATTCAGGTGTCCAGCTTTATTTTATCTATCAGTTAAAAAAAACAAAAACAGCTTTTGCAACTCAATGTAGGAATTTGTAAAACAAATAAAGAGCTTAACCTCTGATTGTTGGTGATGTGCTTGTCCTTCATAGGAACGTTGAAGTCGACTCTGAAACAGAGAGGTTATTCTAATTAAATGATGAGTCTAATGTGGCATTTCACTTTAAAAACACAACAACAAAGAAGTTTAACATACTTGGTCTTTATGAGAAATTGATGCATAGAAATTGAGTTAGTTTGGATTAAAGCACTTAGTAGGTCAGATGGTTATGAAAGGGATTTCAGCTGCTGTTCTTCATGAGCGGATGTCATATCTTAAATTATAAAGTGACGGATTGGGAGCCCAACAGAACACAGCACGTCCCCAGGACTCCATTCAACTGGAGCCATTATAGTTACCCCCTACTGTTATTCCAACCACATTGGCCTCGATTTAAGGCTAGAATTCTGCTAACAAAACTGGTAAAACATCAGAAGTGCAATAAGATTAAACATGGTAAGGATAAATATAAAATATTATAAATATTGGGTTGTTGATGAAAAAACTTTTTTTTTTTTTAAAGAACATCATATGTTGAATTAAGTCAAAAGCTTACAGATTAATTTTACTTACAATTTTCTTTTACTCAACACATAAAACTTTTAAATTATCCCTAATAGACTGTATAAAATGGACTGCAATTAACTCTACAAAAAGGTGCCCAATGAGGAAGTTTTGTGAACTGAAGCTGCTGATCCCTGTAGCAACACCCAGCCTTTGTGATTTTTCAGCAGCGCCCAGCAATGTGGCAGGCTGCAACAGGCCTCAGCTTTGGTTTGTGGCAACATGCTTCTAGAGACCAAAGCAGCAATACCTCCAATCTAAACATATTTGAATTCACTTAAACTGACTTTTTAAACACAGAATAGTGAACCTTGTCCTATGGTGCTGGTGGATTGCATCACTAAACTGAGCAAACCCACATGGCCCTCTGACATTTCCACACATGGTGTCAGTTTCAAATGCTCCCTAACAGACTATGAGGCTTTTGCTTATAGGAGACCACAAAGAAAGTAAAAAAGAAAAGCAAACTAAATTGCTAATGCACGTAGAAAAGGCTACAGCTTTTTGCTTTCAATAATTAAAGCTACCTAAACTACCAAACTATCTTTGATCTGCTGCTTTCCATTCCTCATCTGATTCTGAATAGATGTATTTGAGTTAGAATGACGTAACACTTTAGTGGAAACAGCAAATAGCCAAATTCAGCATTGTATTCACTTTAAAATTCTGCCTCAAATCTGGATCGTATTTAACTTTTAAAGAATTAAGATTTATTTGATGGGTTAATGGACCAAAACTGGTGGAAATGACCCCCCTAAACTTTAAATCTAATGCCACGCCTCTGATTAGTTCTGGCAAAATTGATATCTATTCAGAATTTAAATGAGACGGTTTAATATTCATGTTTTAGGCGTGTTAAAACCTTCCCGGATTGCCATTAAATGGCAGGCCGAGCAGCATGTTGGATGCGGATGCCTCATCCATTCAGCATCTCCTCTCAAACACGTATCACGATTGGAAAACGTGACAAGCCACCAATTCACTTCCTGTCATCTCCAAACTGAACTGAAACGACCCAGAAGCAGTTAACCATCTTTTCTGAGTCCAATGAAGAGAAGGAAACAATGGCTGCTGTTTCACAGGATCAGAACTAGCTAACTGACGGCTCATTTCCGATTAGCTGCAGTTCGAGTAAATGCTACTTCAGGCCATATTAAATCACCCACCTCATGATGACTCGCTTCCCCTTGACGTCCACCTTATCAAGAGTGAGTTTGTTGGAAAGAGACATGATGGCTAGTTCGGTTGGTTCTGTCTTTTAGCGTCCTGACTGGATCTCCTCCGCTTCCTTCTGCTGCTGATGAGCTAGCGACCGAATGTCAGCGGTGACCTTAGAGCAGAGCGAACGAACACCGTGGGGGTGGGGCAAATCTATTCCCTGGCATTTGATTGGTTAATGTTGTTGCAGCTGGTGTGTGCTGATTGGATGAAATGGACATACGTTTCTCTTAGTGACAACAGCAGCTGATCCACAGGTATATTCATATTATCATATTGAATAGTTTAAAACGGTCCTGATTTTTAATTAGTTATGTTAAATGTAGCTTTATAACTATGCAGCAAATACATTTCAAATGTAAATACAAAATCTGTAGATTAAAACTATTAGAAACGCCAGTATACATTAATCAATTTAAAGGGCAAAAGTGTGTGCTTGTATCTATGAGGTAAGAAACCTGAAAAATCAACTTTTTGTCAAACCCTGACTATACAGAAGACATTCACCCCTACATGCCATTATCGTTTGACATTTCTAGATTCTTAAAAGCTGTATTTCTAATTTTATGAAAACCAATCTTAATTTGATACAATATTTGAGCAATTTGAAATTAGCAATTATATGTTATTAATAACACAAATATATTTAAGCAGATTTATATGCAAAAATGGCTTTGGTGTTTTTCGGTTTTATTCTGGCATATTTAACCGTGTCCTTAATTGTTTTTTCAGTATATTAACAGGCTTGTTTATACAATACAATCATTTGAATAAGGGGTTTCAGGTGGTTCAACTTTATTAAATATCTTAAAAGTTGAACTTAGAGGTATGATGTCAATACAGCTTTTTAATCTAAGATATTGAAGTATTGACAGATGCAGATATTAAACCGATACGACATAAGCACAAATCATGCATAAGCTTAACCCAAAAAAAAAAAAAGAAAAAGGATCATGCTATAATGCATAAACAGAACGATGTTTATCATCAACAGGTATGAGAACTGACCTATTTATTATGGGCCTATGGGTGTCAAACTCTAAAAAGAAGCGCAATAAAGCAAAGCGCTTTATTAGCTTGCTTATTTTAGTAGAAATATTGGATAAAGGGTCAAAATATAATAAATATGTTTGGGGTTTTTTTCTGGCTGATATCAGTCCTGATCACATATCAATATTGGATTTGGACACGCCTATCTAGAGGTTCAAGCATCCTCAGGACCAACATAAAAATAAAACTATGCTATAATCGTTGAAAATTATACAGACAAGACTTTAAACAAAGCAGACAGTTTTTGTTCTTTTCAGGAAACAGCCTTCAAATGGCAGACCAGTGGAATCATTTTATTTGGACAAAATAGGATGTTGGAATAAACACAGCAATCCACCATCTGAACACAGATAATGGTTATCCATCTATACAATTAGGGTTTGAGCTTCATCATGTTGGCTCGTCACTCCTCTGCCTCCCTCCATGGTTTGGGCATCACCTTATTGACTGGGGACAGATTCCAGACGATTCCAGTCTGAGTCAGTACCTGCACAGAGACAAAAAATATACAGGTTACTAATGTGATCCCAGAACCACATTGGATCTAAAAAGTCTGAAAAGGATAATCTTTTGACTTTAAGCATTTTTGTGTTAAAAACAGACCTTTTAGACATTTTAATGAAGTTTACAAATTCCTGACTGAGGATAATTTTTTGAGCTATTGCTCATTTCACAGTGAAAAAAAAAATAATAAATTGCCTTAAAAATCCTCAAGTCTATATAAAAAAATTTCTCCTGAAGCATGACCAGAATTTATAGCATATATCTGGCTCCCAGTATGTTGAAAAACCAAAATAATTACATTGAAAAGGACACTCTACACTTCATGATAAAGTCAGGATCAAGCAGATCCTTTACTTTAATAATACAATCCTTTATCTTTCTAAACAAACACTTTTCTTTAACTTCAAGAAACATATTTTTCCAAAGTCATGCCCTAAATTGCTAAATGGAAAGGTCATCCTTTCAAAATCCAAAAGAGAAAACAAGCATTAGATGCCCTCTAGTGGCCACAACTATAAACTACTAAGCTTGTGTTGAGCAGCCATATAACTGTGTGGTGTAATCACGTATGCCCTATAAAACATGAATAAATGAGCTAAACAAATCCATCATCAACATACACAATAGCTGCAACTTATTTTACTTCAAAGTAGAAATCTTTTGTTTTCTGATAATGAGGAGTGTGGTAACCTAACGCTTACTTATAATCTGGACAGAGGTTATTAAACTACAAATCTTTCCATTGTTTTACAAAAGAAGCAATTCCAATCAGGCAGATAAAACCTAAATACTGAATTTAAATTATTATTATTACAAAATATTATATAAAAGAACAGCTGATTTTACTTAGAGAGTTAAAACCTTAAGGTCAACTTCAGCATCCTCAGACAAAAACTAATCACATTTTTTCCCCAACAGACTGCATTAAACTTTTTCCACGCTTGCCCTTTTCCTTCTCCAGATAGTTGAAAAATTCCAAAACTTATCAACATTATTATCTCCTAATTCAGACTTTGTTTTAATCCGTTTATACAACCAGTTACATTGTTTTAATAAGGATTACAGGATGATCGGACTTACATATCCCCAAACAATGGTGCAGAAGGCTGTTCCACTGACCAGCACACCCATGCCATACTTGCTATGGAAGTTCTGAGAAGCTGTTGATCCGTGCCTCACTTGCCGAACAGCCTGGCCTGTATAAAAACATAACCACAGTTAGAAATCCTGATAGCACTGGATATTTTTGTCTTATAAATAGAATAAAACAGCATTTAAGTCCTGCGGTTCTTCTGGAAAACAGATTGCAATTTAACATAATGCATAAAAGGGGAATCAAAGTAGAAGTCAGAATAAAGCTCTTTATAAGAAGCTGAACACATATTTGAGCATTCATAGAAGAGGTATGCATTGGACGATATCCACTACACCTGTGGGGTGAATTAAGCTTAAGGTTATTTTGTTGAAAAAATTATGGTCAGGGCTGAATGAATCTATGATCATTTGGATTCTGTTTATTTTTTGCATATTTTCTTCCCTTAGTCTTAACGCAGCTATATCAATAAAACTAAGGTTAAGACTAACTTTAAATATAACTTCTACAAAATTGCCATATTCATAAATTGTCCCTTAGATATAAGAGTATATTTTTATGAAGTTAAGCTCACAGATACGTCTGATTTTGCCCAAGAACAGTATTTTATATGGATATGAATTAAGAATAAAGTACTACATAATTTTCGGTATAAAACCGCCCAATACACAGGAGACAAAAAAAAAAAAAAAATACAGTTAGATTTAGAAAAGCTGTTTTTGCTGTTAAAGTCTAATACTACACGTTTCCCCTTACAAATATAACATTCTTTTTTATTTGTTCCAAATTTTAACTTGTGAAAGCTAGACCAGCAGTCTTGTACCAAATTGGAAAGCAATTTTGGAAATAAAATGCCCATTTTGCAATAATTATAACATGGTTATGAAGAATTCATCTCAGGACTAAGAACTGTCTTTATTTTGTCTCCTAGGGTCAAAATACTAGTGACATATTTACGTTTATAATATTTACATCTAGTTAAAACCTTCACTTGCGATGTTTACCAATGTCAGTTGTGTATTTGATATATATGGACCCTTGGAGTTTCTCTCGGTAGATAATTTAGGGCATTTTAATTTCATTTGAGGTTTGAATGTATCAGGATTCTTATGGGCATGCTAACATTCGCTAGCTTATAGCGGGCATGTTGGGGGCGGTCAAACAACAAAAAAGCTTATAATATCTTCCTCCTGACCAATAAAGAACTAGTTCCCGGGTAAATTGCAGAAATAAGACATGAATTAGAAAGGAAGGAAGACTTCTTACCACTGACGTTAGCTACAGCTTTAGCGAACCGGTACATGTTGGCTGGCCTGGCGACTTCAGATACCCTTGAAGAAGTTCAATATGGCAGTCTGTAGGATATATACCGGAAGCTGTGGCGTTCAAGTGACGTCGTTAAAACTCATTTAGAAGCTCTGCGTTCTAACCTGTTTGACTTAAACGAGAGTATAATATGTGAGTTCTCTATAAAATGCCTTTAAAATAAAATTAGTAAGGAACTACAACTATACCGCTACATATATCAGTGGGTGTCTGTAAAATATTTCTGCTCGAGATGGGTCCTTTAAGGCAACACGACAGCGACTTTTCTGTACGCATGCGTAAATAAAAAATAACCGTTAAAATAGAAAGCGAGAAAAATATGCGGAGTGCTTGGCTCAGATAAAATACAATTATTACGTATGCCTAAAAATCGTCGTCATAATACATCACAATTAGCCAGAAAGCAATTCCATCTTTACAGTATAAGTACCTTACGTCGCATGGATTGAGTACGCGTGTCAGGATGGCCGAGTGGTCTAAGGCGCCAGACTCAAGGTTGAACTCCCTTCCCTAATACGGGCATTCTGGTCTCCGAATGGAGGCGTGGGTTCGAATCCCACTTCTGACACATACTTTTTTTTAAATCTATTTGATTAGAAGTATCATTGTGATTTTAAATAGCATTCCTAAGAAGCACGTTACTTATGAAGCTGGAAGAAAACTACAAACGTACGATCCTTTAAGAGCTGATAAACACCCCCTGGTGTTTTTCCAGTTTTAATGATTGTTTCATAGCACAACCCTTTTTCTTTAATTGTTGTAGGTTATAGCAATAATAATTTATACATCTGGCATAGAATGTACGCTAACCCCCAACACAAAACAAGAAAAAAGGGCAAAAAAATGGAAGAAAAAAAAAAAAACATGTTGGCATTTTCTTTCAAAACAAACCTGAAAAGTGTGGCATGTATTTCTGTAAAGTCAAATTTTCTCTAAGAGTGCTAAATGATATATGGTGTGAGCAAATGTTTTAAATTAAATACAGTCTCAATATCAGCAAGCTGTTCACGAGGAAAGATGGAGCACTGCAGGCAGGTTAAAGATAAACCTGAGGAGTTTGCATCATCTGAAAATGGGAAACAGTGCAACCTGTACCTCACTGCATTACTTCAGGAATATTCTGGTTGGTATGCATCCTGGCACAGCTTCTCCATCAAACGCAAATTATTGGCTCACCACAAACACCACCTTCCAGGTTACATTGGCGATCTATGATCATGAAGACAACCCAGATCATAAAGGTCACATTTCTGAAATGTAAAGGTGTTACCATTTTAATTTGTTGCATTGTTTTTATTCTTTTTTTAAAATCTGCGTAGAAATTTGATGCTGAATGACTCTATTAGGCCATTTTTGATATGGGGCATATGGAGAGTTACCCAGGGCAGAATAAAAAATGAAAACTATGTATAAAATCAAACCTATTTGTTTTCTGGACTATGGAAAGGTTTTGTATAGATTTCATAAAAATAAATAAATAAATAAATAAAATAACAATGATTAGGGAGGAGACATCCAGGTGTATTTAGAAAGGTGCAGTTTGCTGCCTGTTGAAAATAAGGACAAAGGGGTTTCTGTTTAACTAATAGTCCCTAATGAGGGAATCTTAAGTTATTCAGTGGAGTTTTCATTTAGTTTTGGTAAAATGGATGTTTAGAAACTAGGACTGTTTCTGTGCGTTTAGCTTATATTAAACTAGAAAATCAGAAACAGTCCTAGTTGAAAGACAAACCAGCAGTGGGTGAGGGGCGTTTTCCTAAGGAACTGTTAATGCGAGGAACAAGGTAGAAATCAATCAAATTTGCTTTTTTTTCCTTTTGATAATCAGTTTGAAACAATTTTCCTTTTTATAAATATGGGACACTGTCCTAAAAAAAAACATAAAAGATATATACTGTATATTTTTTTTCTATTTTCTAAAGCCTAAAAAACAAAAGAAAATGATGTTTTAGCAAAAAAATAAAAAAAAATATAGAAAAACTAACACTAACATAAAATGTTTTTAAAAGTGCAATAAGATTGTGGTGCTTTATAATAAATGAACAGAAATAGAAGCAAAATGCCTCTTTGGAATGCAAAGGTGACATGATTGGACTCAGGGGCATGGAGGGGATCAAAAGATGGTGCAACAAAAGAGCTGCTTAAATACATAATTTGCAATTTAAAATACTTTTTTCCATTAACTTCAGAATTATGCAACACTTTTTCTTGGTATATCCCAGTGTTTCCAAACCTGTTTTTTTGCATGTGACCCCCTTTGGGCATTTTGTCTTACCTTGTGTACCCCTCTCATTCAAAAGTATTAATGATCATCCAAATGTGGAACGTACAATAACTAATTAAAAAATAAAGACTATTTTGCTTAATCTTTTCAGAATTTAATTCTTAGGCATTTTATTCTTTCCACCTCAGATAAAAAGAAACATAAATATGTCTGGAAGTTAGTAAGGAATTGAAATCAATATAAAATCCTATTATAAGCCTGTATTTATAAAACTGGAGCTCCTCTGAGTATCTCCCTTATACTCACATTTAAACTTGATGAATAGGGAGCAAAATACTTAAGAATTATAGTCAGACTGACTTAATTAGTTTTACTTTGTTTTCATCAAGAAACCTGAGCTGCTTTCATGAGCTGCGATACCTCAGTGTGAAAAACAACTTAAACCAGACTGATCTCTACATCCAGTCTGTCTCTCTGCTTGGTTTGGATGTGAGTCTAACCTGAAGGTGAACTTAAACATAAGAAAAACTTACTTTTTGGTTAATAAAAGCTTGTTTTATTTTTCAGTTAGGTCCTCAAAAAAACTATTTTACTATAATATTACCCGTGTACCACTAGGGGTACCTATTGTGTGTGTGTGTGTATATATATATATATATATATATATATATATATATATATATATATATACTTCGTTACTGTACTTAAGTACACTTTTTAGGTATCTATACTTTACTCCATTACTTATTTTTCTTCCTACTTCTGACTTCTACTCGTTACATTTTCACACAACTATCTGTACTTTCTATTCCTTAGATTTTTAAAACAAACATTCATCAGAATCAGAAATCATCAGAAGCAAGCAGGTGTTCTTAAAACTGCAAACACGAATTGTCTATGCCATGCTACAACGTCGGATTCAGAAAAAGATGTCTGAAAGGTCGGACACAGGCGAGAGCGTATCGGGAGATGGAGACCAACAAGACCTCCCTCATCCTTGGCCCTATATCAAAGACATTTTTGAAAGAGTCAAAAAAAATGGAGCTGTAAAATTCATATAGTGGCATCTGGCTGTTTTTTTTTTTTTTACTTTACACGTTAATACTTTAAATAGTTTTTGGAGCACATACTTTTTCATTTTTACTTGAGTAAAAAGGTCAAGTTGGTACTGCAACTTTTACCACAGTGTTTTTAAACTGCAGTATCTATACTTCTACTTAAGAAATGTGTGTATATATATATATATATATATACATACATACATATATATTTTTATATGTTTAAAAACCTGTCCAGGGATATGCACATAGTTGATGCAAAAGACTATTTGCAGAGCAGTAATAGTTTGAATGATGGTTTTACTTATAAAAGCTCCACCGTTCACTTTAATTATTATAGGAGAGAAACAGAGAAGCTTTATAATTTTGTTAGAATACGTTATGGTTTTACAACTGATGCAATATAAAAAGCAACGCATCTAATTTGATTAATTATACTTGTACAGCAATAAATTCAAATAGGCATCCAGCTGCTTATTTTTTGCGTTTAATAAATCAACATCTTTCAGAGATAAGGACAGTATGACCTACAAATTTTAAACAATCTTAAAAATGTTCCTTCATTTTAAAGCAAATTAAAGGAATAACAAAAAAAAGAAAAAAAAAAAAAAAAAAACATTGTTTAAAAAAAAAAGACTCCAGGTTTACACTTTAAATGTTGAGGCTTAATGGAGGAAGCTTGTAGGGAACAACCTTAATAGGGAACAGGATTAACTTTGTCAGGATGATAAGCTGGAGAATAAACCGTGAACCTGGCTGGATATAGAGTGTCTCAAAGGCTAGAGATGTTTAAAAAAAAATATATATTTATGTAAACAGAAACATAAGCAGAGCAGTGAGAATGAGTGAGTTTAATCTTTAGAGTTTGGTATTTAAAAACAGTAGTTTCATGGCAATGTTTTTTTTCATTCATAAAAGTCCTGCTGGTGAAATAATCTAAAGTTATCTGGACACTCCACGAATTTAATGCTAAAACATTAAAAAACAAAAAGGGCTTTCATTTTATTTTATGTTTCACATTAAAATGACATTGCAGTGAGAAACGAAGCAGCAAATCCAGATACTTAAGAGCCTTAATGAACCGTTTTTATAATACTCTTAAATGATCAGTTTCAGTTCAGATCATGGAGCAATTATTTCATCATGTATAAAAAAAAATAAAATCTAGACCGTCACTTTATAATAATAACTTGCTATTTCAGTTATTTATTACACTCTACTTGTAGACATTTAGGATATTTATCCTCTGAATTGTGGGAATGTGTTTGAAGAGTCCGTCCTTTAAAAGGCTCCCATCAGAAACATGGAATGATCCAAAAACAGCCTCTTAAAGCTTCTTAACTGCGCCCAGTGTCTGAATTTAGATAAAACATCAGGTTCATCCCCTTTCGCCAGATGTATAGCAACTCTAACTTTATTTAAACTTTCTTAATGAACTGTATTGACCCCTCCACATCATCAAACAGGCCATTTATCTGAGCGAGCTTCCAGCTTGATACGTTTCAGGATCTGGTTGCTTACTACTCCATCCTTAAAGCTATCACTTGGGGTGTTTAACCATTAATGCCCTTCAGACAAATAAACGGAGATGAATTTAGATTCTATGACTGGTCCAAAAGTTGAAGGATGTTTGGTGAAAATGGAAACGTTTGCTGAGAACACTGCAAAGTAGACCAGAGGCTTCAAATTACAAACATTAAGGCATCTCTCCTTTTCCCCTCTGCATCCCTTTGTCCTTTATTCAGTCTTCTTATCTTTTCCCTCCTCGTTGTCGGTGTATTCTGTCG